GTGGTACTGGCCCGGGCCCGGCGTGTCTGTCGCCGACCCCATGGCCTTGCGCATCTCCTTGCCGAAGCTGCTCCGCTGCGAGCTCCGGAGCTGGGGGTTCATCTGGCCGATGCCGCCGATCGTCGCGTAGTTGCCCGGGCCGGGCACCTTCTCGCTGAACGTCGCGGGCGTCGTCGACTTGCCCCCGAGGGACACGATGGGCGCCTTGGGCACCGTGAGCACGTCCATGGCGGCCGTCGCGTTGGCAGAGCGTGGTTAATGTATCCGGGCGTTTCTATTCAGGGCAGCCTTGCTGTTGTTGCAGAAACATCTAGCCCGCCGGGCTAAAAACTAAAAAAAGCAACTGGATCGATTCCTCGAAAAAGCAACTCAAACAATCAGGCTGCGAGCAGCCCTTTTGCAGCGTCGATGGACGAAATTCTCGTCTTCTCCAGCCCGTAGCTCGACGCAGATGCAGAGTTGCGCAACGATCCCCGCGGCTGCGAGGACCGGAACCCTGTTGCGGACACATTCCCCGCGGGATGTCACTCCCGAGGATTGCGCCGCATCGCGCGCGGGGCGTCCCAAGGGGTCGGAAGAGGGTTTTCGGCGTCCCCCGCACCCTTTTCGACCGTGTTCGAGCGCACGGAGCGTCGGGAATCGTTCGTCTATGTACCGCGGGCGTCCCATTTGATCCGCTCGGCCATCGACGTCGAAAACATCGACCGCCAACGCGCGCATAGAAACGTGGCGCGGCAGCCCAACCGGCCCCCACGTCCAGAAACGCGGTCTGGGCCGACACCACCGCCCGAGCCCCGTCCCCAGTATGTGTCCGGTGGGATCGAGTACATCTCCTACTGCGGAGCCACCCCACGGTGCCGATCTCGGCCGTTTCGTCGTCCCCATGGAGGCCCGGAACGCCGACTTCACGGCGTCGGCCGCTGCAGTAGGTGATGTGCTGAATCCGCCTCAATGGCCCAAAGAACCCGTCCCACGCAATCACCTACTGCAGAGAGACACCTTCACCACTGCGGACTCGGCCACGCTCGGAGCGCGTCCATCGCGTGTAATTGCTTCAATAATCGCAACGATGCAGCTCCTGAGCGGTTGCTTTTGTTATTTTCTAGCCCGGCGGGCGTTTTATTTACTTCATATTGAATTGCAAATACGCACTGACAACACTCACGCGGCCGCGGCTCGCGTCGACGCGCGTCCCCGCGACCCGGCGTCCGCGACGGGAGACGGCGCTCGCCCCGACGTTGCTACTCCGGGTCGCCTCACGCGAGCGCGAGCAGGGCGAGCGCGCCGAGGCCGCTGTTGATCGCGAGGGGCGAGGGGGCGAAGAGGACGGCGAGGACGACGAGGCCGCCGGCGAGCTCGACGTTGGCGCGGACCGCGCCGCGCGCGAGCGCGAGCGGGCCCGGCGCGGGCGCGGGCGGCGCGGGCGCGGGCGCGGGCGCGGGCGTTGGCGCGGGCGCCGCGCGGCCGTTGGCGGCGCCGTTGGCGGCGCCGGCCGCGAGCCGCGCGCGCGCGTCCGCGAGGTCCGCGCGCGCGGCCCGGAGC